TCTTCTTCTTCTTCTTCTTCCATAATTTATTTTTCTATTTACACAACACTGCTGAAATGTGTCATGTGCTGCATTGCGAGCCTGTGTTTGATAAATTCTTTCAAAGCCCAGCAGTGTTGGTGCCTTGTTATACACATTAAACTACACAGAACAGATTGCTTTCCAGTGTACTGTGCAATATTGTACTCTAATTTGTAAGTGTATGTGTGTCTGTGTTGAACAAAGTCTTTTTAGAGACTCAAATTAGAGGGAAACTTGATCTTTTGAACTTGATTAATGTTTCTATTGTCTGGAGAGGGACATATTAAGCTTTATGTTTGTTTGCACTTTTGAGTATTTGTATGGTTGTGTTTACTGCATGTGTGTGTGTGTTGGCCATATTACATTCCCATATATAGAAATTTTTCATATTTTGGCCTCATTTCTCCAAGAAATATTTCATATTAGCTCTGTCGTTCTGTAATCATAACTTTAAAATCTGCACACAGAATTTCTTGTTCCACATGCAGTATACAAACATTATAAACTTGGCCCTTAAACCCTTTAACCTTGGAAAAAGATACAGACTTAATTACCAGTGAGATTTGGGCCCCCTTTGCTGTGTACACATGTGTGTGCATCTACTAAAGAAATTAGATATGCTTGTCATGTGAGGCTTTGACCATGCCTGTGTGCTTTGTTTATACATAAAATGGTTTAGCTGTGTGTATGTGTGCAAGTGTTTGTGTGCAAATTTAATCTCTTTCTGAATTTGGCCAGATGGTCAGTGATTCCTTGACCAGTTTAATTACATTTTTACATGTTTGGACAAAGTGTATTACTGTCTCTGTGTCTATGTATATGTCCTGCATATAATTTCCCAGAGAGTTTGCTCAGCTGGCAGTGGAACTTTTAGACCAGTCCTATAAACAGGACGAGCAGATGGCCATGAAGCTGCTGACGTACGAGCTGAAGAACTGGAGCAACGCCACCTGCCTGCAGCTGGCGGTAGCAGCCAAACACAGAGATTTCATCGCTCACACCTGCAGTCAGATGCTGCTGACCGACATGTGGATGGGACGCCTGCGCATGCGCAAGAACTCAGGCCTGAAGGTGATATAAATGGGCCAGATGTTTGGGATAACCTGTGGGTAAAGAAAAGTGTACTTACATTAAATAAGATGTCTGTGCATCTCACAGTGACTGCAGGCTTTGATGTTAAGAGAGGCATGGCTGCACTGGAATGCTTAAATCCCCTCAGACTGCCTGAGAAAAGTTGAATTGAGGAAGTAATGAGAAACCCTCTCACCTCCCTCAGAAACTACAAAAGAGGTGGCCCAAATCGCTTCTGTGGATTTGCTGAGTGGCGATGCTAAGTGGATAGTGGTTGTGCTGTACATGACAACTACCAGGTGTGATGTGTGGAAATGTAGAGATCTGAAGCAGAAAGAATTGCAGAGTACCTTACTATAGACAGTGTCTGAAAATTTTAAGTTGCTTTGGACATACTTTACCTAAATGATTAGCAGAGGCCACCCAGTATTACCTTATTACAATTACATCAGTGTACATGTACAGTATCAGTGTGTATGTTGACGGATAAGTTTATCGTCATTAAATTCATATGACCCAAACTTGAGAAAAGGAGCTTTTATTCAAACAAAGTTCTAGTAATGAGGAATAAACTAAACTAAAACTGGAACCGCATTAGTATGGCTGGTTATAACTGTGGTTTGGCCGTGATGTCTCATTCCCCGTAATGTGGAGAGCACTGGACTGTGAAAAGTAGACAGGTCACCACTGAAAGTTCGAAAACTTTATCTTGTGGGAGCACAGGACTCAACAGACCAACCTCCCAATGCAGCAAAGTTGGTCCGTTTACAATTACATCATGTAAAACTTAGATTTTTCTCTCTGGATTCTAGACAAATCTAAATCCTGTAGTTTAGTAATAACTAATGAAAGTTGTCAAGTATCTGGTTCCAGAGTATTTATGTATGGGAAAAGGGTTTTATTTGACAGTAATACTTTGCAGAAACATTAGTGTGATGAGTGTTTGGGTGAGGTGGCCCTCCTGGTCGATCTTCAGCCTTCATTAGTATAAGCCCACAAAGTATTCTGTTAAGCCAGAGGGGACAGAAAAACTGACCTTAATTACTTAAAAACCTTGAACTTGTGTCCCACATATTTCATATTGAGGCTTATGTGGTGAACATCCTTTTGAGTCAAGGGGAGAGGTTTCAGTTAAGACTGGTGGTTGAGTTGTGTGCAATTTTTGCTCATGTGGGTTTTCCAGACGTCTGGTGGAAGGGTGATAGGAGGTAGCTGCTCAGATCAGAGAGGTTAGAGTTATTTATAATGAAGAATTGCCCTGGGAGTTGCTGAAGGGACCGCTGGGTTCCCACTCATTCATACACAGAGTGAGACAGGATGATGGGTCTAGCAGAGCAGGGCAGAATACAAGTGCTTTAAGTATGGTTTGGCCTTTGCAGGAGGGAGGGAGAGAGTGCGCTGCTAAGGCAAGCTCACTGGAGCAGAAAGACACAGAAAGACGGAAAGGAAACCACAAGTGGAACAAACAAGCTTCGGTGCCCCCAGGAGTTCATGATATACAGCAAATAACACTGTCAAAATAATATGTGTGTACATTTTTGAGTTGCTATAGTTGTGAGGGCAACACTCTAAGTCATATTAGAATATGGTTACTGGAGGCTACATGTTTACTATGAATTGCAAAAGATGAGTACATTGATTTCTTCACAGTCTGACAAACTATTGATATCTTTGCTTTCAACCACTTGACATGACTGATGACAACAGAACCTGATACATCACTTTCTGCGCTGTGGTTATGATTGTATTTCTCACTGGTTACTACCTCCGTTCTGTCCTCCTGAAACTATAATTTTTCTATATTCCATTATTTTGTCAAGTCATCTGACTTTACTGTCAGTTTACTGACTAACTGTTATTAAATTATAACATTAACTGCCAATAACTCTTTAGAAAGTAATGTAAAGTAAACTTAAATTTCAGTTTCAGCCAGTAGTCAATGCAATGAAAATATATTTCACTCTTAAATTAAAGACAGCTGCTTCTAAGATAAGAAGACACTCAATTACACCT